GGCTCCGGGCGCGGATGGCATCTCCAACCAAGCCCTAAAAAACTTTCCTGAGCAGGTGCTAACCCTTTTATCTATTATCTTCAATGCCTGCTTCAACCTTAGTTACTTTCCCACTACGTGGAAAGAGGCAACTGTGATTGGTATTCCCAAGGCAGGCAAGCCTCTTAATCTCCCCTCCAGTCATCGTCCCATTAGCCTCCTCAAGGCCATGGGCAAGCTCTTTGAAAGAGTCATTCAAAATCGCATGAGGCGCCATCTGTTTCCCACAGACGGTGACCCTCTTATCATTCCCCATCAATTCGGTTTCCGAGCGAAACACTCCTGCCCCCAACAAGTTCACCGTATTGTGGAATATATCCTCAGCGGTTTTTATCCCCGTCGTCATAAGACTATCGCGGTCTTTTTCGACATCGCCAAAGCCTTCGATAGAGTCTGGCATACAGGCCTTATCTACAAACTATACAAAATAGGTCTCCCCGATCGTCTAGTACGTCTCGTGGCCTCTTATCTTAATCATCGTACCTTTCGTTTTAGACACGAAGGCAGGCTATCTTCACAGCGCCCCATCAAAGCTGGTGTCCCTCAGGGCTCAGTTCTTGCTCCTCTGCTGTACATACTGTTCACCAACGACATTCCCATTCCGCCGAAAGGTGTTCAGCTCTCCCTCTTCGCAGACGACACTGCTCTCTACTGCAAAGGTATCTCGCTACCTTTCATACGGAACAAGGTCCAAAAGTCAGTTGATGACCTAGGAGCTTGGTTCAAAAAATGGCGCATCGATGTGAACCCGGAGAAGAGCTCCGCCGTTCACTTCGATTATAAACGACGCCGTCTCAAAAACACTCCACCAATACGTATGCTAGGGACCCCTGTCCCCTGGCATACGTCTGCCAAATATTTAGGTGTCACTCTAGACACAGGGCTAACTTTCAGGCCCCACGTCAAAAGAGTAACCCGTCACGCACGTTTTTACCTGAATAGGCTCAACAGTATGTTGGGCCGACACAGTAAAATGTCCCTCAGAAACAAGCGTACCCTTTATAAGGTCTGTATACGACCAGTCATGTCCTACGCGGGCCCCATTTTCGCCCACTCTAACCCTAAAATTATTAATGAACTCCAAGTAGTTCAAAACCTTTTCTGTCGTCGAGCTGCGAACGCACCTTGGTACGTCCGCAATGCCGACCTTCATCGGGACCTAGAGCTCCCTACAATTCAACAATTCCTTAAAAAACTCTCTGAGAACTTCTTCAAAGCCTCAGAGTCGCATTCCAATCATTTTATTCGTGAGGCTGCTAATTATGCAGTCCCACTCCCCTCCCGCTATAGCGTCCGCAGGCCGAGGAACTCCCTCTCGGACCCGCCTAATAAACTTTCAAACGACCTGAACTGCCTCCTGGCGGCTCAGGCCAACTCTAATTAAGTTATTCATAATTAATTTGCCTTCCCAGGCACTCCCTCAGCGGCTTATAGCCGCCTGCGCCCTCTTTTCCCAAAAGAGGGTCGCTTTACGATACGGCATGTGAAGCTTTCAACAGCTGGTTGCCAGTCCCCAAAGGCAGTTTTTAGAGGGTATCACTTAGGTTCCCCCTTGTAGGTAGTGAGTCCCTCATAACCACGATGGACCGGTCATCGTGGTATGCGTAATGCATTTTCTGCCTCCCTTCGGGGTAGCCCTTTTCCAATTGCTTCGGGCGCAAAAAAAAAAAAAAATAGTAGGTAAAACAGATGTCACTAAATACAAAATGCAACGGCACATTGACGAAGCGCAGTCAACAAATTGAATACCTAATAACAATTCCGAGAGGCCAGAGAGCCGAACGCGTGCGCCACCGGCGCTCGTCATTCAACTCCCCCGTCTCACCCCGCCCCTACCCCGCACGACTTGTCCCTCGCATACCTCTTACCACCACTTGGCTAATAAGCAAGTGAGAACGCGATATTATTGAACGAAAAATAGTGTGCGGGAATTTCATAAAACTTGTTCCAGGAAATACGTGTTTTTCAGTAACCCACAAGTTTGTGAAATAAATTTTTGTCATTTAGTCAGTCTCCATTACATTGGCGAGGTTTCTATAAAATAATTTCTTTACTTTTACTATTAGTGAGTACATTATGAACGACCAAAGTTCAGGTAAAATTTATGCAAAAAAGCAGATTTTTGGAGGCTTATACTGAACTTGTTTCTACAAATTTAGATTTTTTTGTTTAGATAGGAACCTAGATATAGTGCACTAAATACCTATTAATTATATTATATATTAAAATTTTCAAAGAAAGATCTATTACAACGCCATAATCACATACAAGCTTTTGTATGAAAAGTTAGACGGGTTGGCCGCTCTTAAGTACTTTGCACAATTTTAACTCTTTTTTTTTTTAAATTTTTCTACTTTTATGAATATCTTTAGTTTAGTATTTATTTTTAACCTCATCATCATCATCATCATTACAGCCCTTCACAAGTCCACTGCTGAACATAGGCCTCCCCCAAAGAATGCCACAAAGCACGGTCCTGAGCCACCTGCATCCATCGATCCATCGACTTCCTGCATATCTTACCAGGTCGTCACTCCCTCTAATGGGGGGACGCCCAACACTTCGCCTGCCAATACGAAGCTGCCACTCGATAACCTTTCTTCCCCATCGGTTGTCGGTTCTTCGAGCTATATGGCCGGCCCATTGCCACTTCAGCTTACTAATCCGTTGGGCTATGTCGGTCACTCTGGTTCTACTGCGGATATCCTCATTTACGAGTTTATCACGCAGAGAAACTCCGAGCATAGCCCTCTCCATAGCTCGCTGACCGACCTTGAGCTTCCTCATCCGGTCAGCAGTGAAGGACCACGTCTCAGTTCCGTGTGTCATCACTGGCAACACGCACTGGTTGTACAGTCTCGTTTTCAAGTTTTGAGGTATACCTGACGAGAAGATGTGCCGTAGCTTCCCGAACGCTGCCCAACCGTGTTGAATCCGTCGATTGACCTCTCGGTCGAAGTTGGACTTACCTAGTCGGACTATTTGTCCCAGGTAAACATACTCGTCAACAACTTCCGAACCTAGTGCTCCCAACAACTACCGGCATAGGTGTGACATGGACATTAAACATGATATGTGTTTTGTCCATGTTCATCTTAAGACCTATCCGTTGGGAAGCACTATTGAGGTCATTGAGCATAGTGCTTAGGTCCTCCAGCGATTCTGCCATAAGGACTATATCGTCGGCAAATCGAAGGTGAGTGATGTACTCGCCATTGATGTTGATACCGTATCCTTTCCAGTCCAGAAGCTTGAAAACGTCTTCCAATGCAGCGGTGAAGAGTTTCGGGATATGACGTCACCCTGTCTTACACCTCTCTGCAATTGGATAGGTTTCGTACTCTGGTTCTGTACTCGGATAGCCATCGTAGCCCTACTGTACAAGCACTTCAACACTTCGATATACCGACAGTCAACTGAAGGGACTGCAGCACCGTCCAAATTTCGACGGAATCAAAGGCTTTCTCATAGTCCACATACGCCAGACATAGTGGCAAATTGTACTTTTCGGACTTCTGTACAATTTGCCGAAGAGTATGTATGTGGTCTATGGTGCTAAAGCCTTTTCGGAAACCGGCTTGTTCGGGAGGCTGGAAGTCGTCAATTTTTAACATAATTAATATAAAATATAACTAATAGTACAAAAAGAAACATTTTTACATTTTTCGAACAAATTAACTTCTTTCCAATGAAATCTGTCTAAAATATTACACATCATTTTAAGTGGCGCTGCCTGGTGGCAGAAAAGTCGTAGATGCCCTCATTAATGTGTGATTGTCTATTTTTGCCGTCTTCCAAAAAGAAGACGGTACTCAATGAGGGCTAATAATCTTCCACTCACCAGATGTCGCTAGTTGTGACTGAGGTAATGTTTTTGTTACACAGTGTCAGTTAATTGAGAAATTAGTTTTAAATAATAGTTTATCATTATCTAGAGTATTATATTAATACACAACACAATGCGTCAGTGGTTTGATTTTTAATTTTTTGTACTTTATAACTCTTTTTAAAAAAATCGGCTTTTAGTTATATTTTATAGTTTGGTTTATTCATTTCTAATGTAATTAATATAAAATATTGCTAATAATACAGAAAGAAACTTTAAAGATTACATTTTCCTAAGAAATTATCATCCCCGCTATGAAATCTGTCAAATATTTTACCTCACTGTAAAGTGGCGCCACCCTGGTGGCAGAAAAAGTCATGGATGCCCTCATTCGACGCGTATGTTTTTTTTTATATGTGTTACCTCATAACTTTTTACTGGGTGAACCGATTTGGATGATTCTTTTTTATTTGAAAGCTGGTACTTCTCGTGTGGTCCCATATGAATTTGATCAAGGTCAGACCAATAGTTTTTGAGTTATTCTTAATAACTCATATTGAAGTCGGCTGTACAACATTTTTAATTTTTAATTATAATTTAAAGTTTCTATTGATAGAATTCTGCCTGTGTCATTTCCATAACAGTGTTATGCCAGCTTGTCACTGTCACTGTCACGTTAGTTTGTCACTGTCATATGTCATGTCATAATATGTACCTTTTTCTATATAGTTTGCATAGACAAATATATATGTAGCAAGCTAATAGTTTGTGGTACCTTCTCCAAAGCTGGACTGGACTGCTTGTGTGCTTGCTGCTTGGACAAATTAAAATTACTCATAATCTCATAAATCAAGGATTAAATTACTCTCTATAAGGAGAGCTCATATTAATTCATCAGAACTGTAGAATAAAATTCACTAGTTAATCTGTGTTATCCAAGCTGGACTGCATTGAGTCAAAGTTTCTAGTGTTTGTTTTTTATTGGAATTTATCTTGTGTTGTTATTGATTAGAAGTAATAGTGATATGTGATTGAACTTACGGCTTTGTCATCATCGTATCGAATTATTATAAATGAGTAAACCCTAACCAACAACTAATTTTTATTGTCATTGTTTGTGCATTTAAGAATCATAATGGAACTACAAGACACTTATTACAACAAAGCGGAATACGTTGAAACTGTTAGTTTGTCATAATATTACACTTAAAATTTTCTAAGCAATTTTTTTTTCAACACGTTTAATTTTTTAGGCCTCTGGTAATAAAGTTAGCAGGCAAACTGTACTCTGTGGATCTCAGAACATAGTTCTTCATGGTAAAGTTATTGTGCAAAGTGATGCGATTATCAGAGGAGATCTGGCAAATGTGAAAACTGGCAGATTTTGCATTATCAGCAAAGGATCTGTAATAAGACCACCCTTCAAAAAATTTAGCAAAGGGTAAGCTATTTAATATTTTAAACATACTCTAACGCTCTCTCTTTAATCTATTTATATATATTGTAGCATTGGTGACAAAGCCCTCGGGCAAAAACAGTTTCAGACAGTTTAAACCAGCCAGTAAAAGATTACCACTAAGTTAATTGCACTTAGTGCTTAGCCATTTCAGTCTCTCCTAATGATGCTCCTTTAGAGGCAAAACATGTGTCAATAGTGCGTATTTCTTAGTTTTTATATTAAAATGGTGCCGAGTTTAGTAGGCATCAAAAGTACACTTAACTATAGGATGCTTTTTAAACTAGGTAATGCACATCACTTTATTAATTATATTATGCTCCTAGAAGGCATTTTCTTCTATTTAATATAACAAAGTAACATAAGTAAGCTTAATAGTAAATTCTATAAATAATAATAATAATAATAAATCTTTATTTCGGATAACAAAAGAAAAATCACAAGATAATAATAATAGTACAGCTAGGTGGACGGAGAAAGTAAAATGACACGCATGCACGCATGCATTCACGCATACACATACGCACGCAAGCACACACACACACACCCACGCGCACGTGCTTGCAGCCATACTTACACACATACACACACACAGGTAAGTCAGCCATGCAGGACGTTAATAATTTGCCTTATTATAGGACAGTCATGTTTTTGTGCTATAACACCCAAGATACTGTTGGAGCTATTCCTTGTTCTGCTTAGTAGCGATGCGGCTTTTTTGCGCATTATCGCGTCAAACCCGTCAGTGCGGGCCTCACAGAACATGCCTGAAGCGCTGCAGGAGCGGGGCAGCCCCAAAAGAACTTTAAATGAATTGTTATATTGCACCTTTAATGCTTTGTGTGTAGTTGACCCAAAGGGAGCACGAATAGAAAGACTGGCAGTATGCCTTAAAAAGAGTTATTTTAACGGCATTACTGCATTGTACAAACCTACGGGCTAACATATTACTCTGGGTCGCTAAAGCCCTACGCTCCCTCTTCATGTCCATTTCATCATGCAAATCCTCGGTCACGTAGTGTCCCAAGTATCTGAATTGTGATACCCTTGATAAAGCAGTGTTGTAGAGTCTGATAGGTGTTATGTACGTAGTATTAAGTTATTAGCTTTATACAACACAAATTCACTTTTCTTTATATTATAAATTAGACCGTGTTCATCTGCATAAGCCTCACAGATTCCCAGAAGCTTTCTGAGCGGACTGACCGAGAGACTCAACAACACCATGTCATCGGCGTAACTTAGGTTGTTGACACACTTTCCATTCACATGGCAACCAACCTTAGTGCTGCTGAGTCTCTCGAGCAGCTCATTTATATACAAGTTAAAAAGTTGAGGTGAACTTATTCCACCTTGTCTCACGCTACATTTCGACTCGTACGGTTCAGAAAGCTTATCTGCCCATTTTACATGATTTGTTTGATGATTGTACCAATAGCGGAAGATACCCAGAAGATCATTAGAAAAATTACATTCGGCAAGTTTTTTCCATAAAATATTATACGACACCAGGTCAAAGGCCCTCGACAGGTCTAAGAAGCATCCATAAACCAGGGTTTTGCGATCTGTATAAATCTGACTGTATGTTTTAAACCTAATATTGGACTTTCTGTTGACAGCCCTGCCCTAAAACCAAACTGTGTTTCATGAATCTGACGAACTTTTTCTAACTCATTGCTTAGTAGCCTGTCGAGCACCTTTGCCGTCACTGTTGCTAAAGAGATAGGCCTGTAATTGCTTTTATCTGAAATGTCTCCAGTCTTATTCTTCACTATTGGTACAACTATCATTTTAATCAAATCTCTGGGTAGATACGCATGACTTATGCACAGTGAATAAAACATGGAGAGGACGCGAGGAAGGTGACAACCAGCATACTGCAGATGTTCTATGCTGAGACCGTCATGTCCCGGAGACTTACCCCTAGACATAATTCCAATTATCTCTCTGACCTGTTTAGCGGAAAATCTAATTGGTGTTTCTATTCGATTCGGCTCAGCATAGACCATCTGTTGTGAAGAACTGAGAGGACACTCTACACTAAAATGTTCTTTGAACCTATTGGCTATGGCCTCTGAATCATTCACTCCGTCATCGCTCATAGGTAGGTCTGGTTTTACATTTAATTTAATAGTTTCTTTCCAAAATTTCCCAAAATTATGTTCTATATGATGTTTAGCTATGCCATTAGCCATGTTAATTCTATCTTTATTATTTTGACACCAACGTAATTTTGATTTAAAAATTCTTCTACTTTCTACCATTTCATCATATATAGACCCATAAGTAGGTCGATTATATTGCAACCAGATATGAAATTTTAGCCGAGCCTCCTTATGTGCGTTACTGACATGCTTATTCCACCCAGTTATATAATGTTCCTTTTTACTATTATGCCCACTCTTATCCTCTCTTGTTTGTTCTGCTGCCTCACTTAGAATATTAACAAAACTATTATATAACTTATCCAAACAAATTTTATGATATGAATTATTACAAAATTTATCACCACACTCTAAAAATTCGTCAGGAAAATTAATTTCTCTTAATTTATTATTGCAGATCTCTGTATATACTTTAATTTGATCTAATTGTCTCGTCCCCCATATAACTTTACTATGAAAGTTGCACTTTAGACCTTATACATTTTACATTTATTTCTACTATGAGTGGATAGTGATCCGACCAAAAGACACCATAGTCAATGTTAACATTTACTATCGTTTTTAGCGCTGACTGAGTGACGAGACAGTGATCTAACCATCGCCTACATCCATGAGCTTCACTCAAAAAACTATACGAGCCTGAGTCGATACCTATTATCTCAAAGTCAGCACATGTCCAGTTTTGATCTACACAGAAATTCATCATCTTACAAAAACGTTCATTTGGATGCACATTAAAATCTCCTAGAATATAAACAGTTTCTAATTCAGAGTTTTCAACAATGGCATTTATTTCACCTAGGCACTGTGTCATTTCCAACAGGTTTTCATTACTGTCCGTGGGCATATAGACACAGATAATAACAAAAGATCTGTAATCAACAATCATTTTCACTGCCGTAATCCGTGAACTAATACACTTAATTACCGATACACTCTGGAAGACACTTTTTCGCCATAAAATAGCGATACATATTAATATTATTTCGAATTATCTTTAATTTCAGTGTAGCATTCTTCCCGCTTCAAATGGGTGATCATGTGTTTGTCGGAGAGAACACAGTTGTAAATGTTGCAGTAGTAGGTTCCTATGTCTATATTGGAAAAAATGTTGTTATTGTAAGTATAACATATTTTGTCTTTAAAAATAATAATATCCTCCTAGCTAATTTAAATTGCCACATCAATAATGTTATGAGATAAAACTATGCATGTGATACCCACATGATGTTCAATTTTTTTTAAGCTGGCCACCACACTCCCTACAATATCACAACATTATTTGATGGCTCTGTGCCACAGTGGCTTAATAATGAGTTGCTAAGCTGGGGGCCGTGGGTTTGAAACCCGCACGGAACTAGTATTTGTATGGCCAACAAATAATTATTCCAGGTCTGGATGTTTGTACTTGTGCAGTTTGTGTTTGTAAACTGCCTCCACGATACAGGAGAAAATCCTAGTGTGAGGGTGACATTTTTAGTAAAATAAACCTTAAAAAAAATTATATTAGGCCCTAAAACTAACTGTAATAAAAAACCATGCGTGAATATCGTGAAATGAAGTTCCTTTCGTAATATATTATTATTGATAAACATAATATATTATTGATTCATCATCATCATCATTACAGCCCTTCACAAGTCCACTGCTGAACATAGGCCTCCCCCAAAGAATGCCACAAAGCACGGTCCTGAGCCACCTGCATCCATCGACTTCCTGCATGTCTTACCAGGTCGTCACTCCATCTCGTGGGGGGACGCCCTACACTTCGCCTACCGGTACGAGGCTGCCACTCGAGAACCTTTCTTCCCCATCGGTTGTCGGTTCTTCGAGCTATATGGCCGGCCCACTGCCACTTCAGCTTACTAATCCGTTGGGCTATGTCGGTCACTCTGGTTCTACTGCGGATATCCTCATTCCTAAGTTTATCACGCAGAGAAACTCCGAGCATAGCCCTCTCCATAGCTCGCTGAGCGACCTTGAGCTTCCTCATACGGCCAGCGGTGAAGGACCACGTCTCAGTTCCGTAAGTCATCACTGGCAACACGCACTGGTTGTACAATTTCGTTTTAAGGTTTTGAGGTATGTCTGACGAGAAGATGTGTCGTAGCTTCCCGAACGCTGCCCAGCCGAGTTGAATCCGTCGATTGACCTCTCGGTCGAAGTTGGACTTACCTAGTCGGACTATTTGTCCCAGGTAAACATACTCGTCAACAACTTCGAGCTTAGTGCTCCCAACAACTACCGGCATAGGTGTGACATGGACATTAAACATGATCTTTGTTTTGTCCATGTTCATCTTAAGACCTATCCGTTGGGAAACACTATTGAGGTCATTGAGCATAGTGCTTAGGTCCTCCAGCGATTCTGCCATAAGGACTATATCGTCGGCAAATCGAAGGTGAGTGATGTACTCGCCATTGATGTTGATACCGTATCCTTTCCAGTCCAGAAGCTTGAAAACGTCTTCCAATGCAGCGGTGAAGAGTTTCGGGGATATGACGTCACCCTGTCTTACACCTCTCTGCAATTGGATAGGTTTCGTATTCTGGTTCTGTACTCGGATAGCCATCGTAGCCCTACTGTACAAGCACTTCAACACTTCGATATACCGACAGTCAACTTGGCACCGCTGAAGGGACTGCAGCACCGCCCAAATTTCGACGGAATCAAAGGCTTTCTCATAGTCCACATACGCCAGACATAGTGGCAAATTGTACTCTTCGGACTTCTGTACAACTTGCCGAAGGGTATGTATGTGGTCTATGGTGCTAAAGCCCTTTCGGAAACCGGCTTGTTCGGGAGGCTGGAAGTCGTCAAGTCTGCGCGCGAGACGATTCGTAATGACTCTCGAAAACAGCACGTAGACGCGGCTCAGAAGGGAAATCGGTCTGTAGTTCTTCAAGAGAGCGTTGTCACCTTTCTTGAAGAACAAGACCACCGCACTTCTGCTCCACGCCTCCGGTGTAATGCCACCATGGAGGACAGAATTAAAGAGCTTCTGAAGGACTTCAAGTACCGGTCTTCCACCCGCTTTCAGAAGCTCCGCTGTAATTCCATCCTCGCCTGGGGCCTTACAGTTTTTAAGGTGCTGGAGAGCCATCCTAATCTCGCTCAGACTGACATCCGGGATATCTTCGGAATAGTGTCGGATGAGACTCGCTCTTGGATCGTTACTCACACTTGCGTGTGGCTCCAACGATGATGTGTACAGCTGCCCATAGAACCTCTCAATCTCACTCAAAATCTCAGGTGTCCCGGAAACGATGCTGCCACATTCTGTCTTCAGCTTTGACAGTTGGCTCTTTCTGGCAGACAGATCTCTGGCAAAGACTTTGGAGCCTTGGTTCCGCTCGATCGCTTCTTCAATACGAGCTGTATTGAAGTTGCGTAAGTCCCGCCGCATGCATTTGGAGATCTGTCTGTTCAGATGCCTGTATGCTGTCAAGTCTGTTGAAGAATGTAGCTTCATCTCCCGTCTAACAGCCATGAGATTAAGAGTGTGATCGGAGAGTTTTTGTGTTCTTCTGCGGCGGGTCTTGCAGAACTTAGCTCCGACCGCATGGACAGTTTCCACGAGCTTGTCATTCATATCGTCCACTTCATTGCAGTCTTCCAGGCACTGAAAACGGTTTTGTAACTCGAGCTGAAAGGTTTCGGGACTCTGGAACAGAGCACGAGGGGGACGGAGCGTTGACTTCATTAGACGAGACCTCTCCAACTTAACGTTTAGGTTCAGTGTGCCTCTAACCATTCGGTGATCGCTATCAGTTTTCACCCTCGCGATCACGGAGACATCACTGAACAGTTGTCGTCTGGTCGTCATAATGAAGTCAATCTCATTTTTTGTGGAACCGTCGGGGCTCGACCAGGTCCACTTCCTGTGGGGCCGCTTCTGGAAGAAAGAGTTCATCATAAAGAGTCCCTCTTTCTCCATGAAGTCGGCCAGCTGCTGGCCCCTTGGGTTCCGTTGCCCTATTCCAAATTTCCCTACTTTCAGCTCACCGTTCTCTCTTGTGCCTAGTTTTGCATTGAAGTCTCCCATTAACACCGTATATTGGGTTTTGGAGGAATGCATGGCTCTAGAGATATCCTCATACATTTCCTCCACCTCCTCATCGGGGTGTGCCGAGGTTGGTGCGTAAACCTGTATGACCTTCAGCGAATACCGTTTGGTGATTCTGAGTATAAGGTACGCAACCCTCGTCGACACACTCCCGATCTTTACAACGTTGTTAACGAGAGACTTGTGGACGATAAATCCGACACCTCCTTGGGACAGATGGTCGCCCTCCCGGTGATAGAGCAAGTTGCCGGATTCGAGGATTACCGTGTCCTCCCCCTCTCTTCAGACTTCGGATAATCCTATAATATGCCAGCGCAACTTGTCTATCTCTTCTTCCAGCTCCACGATCTTCTCGTCAGTCCTCAGGGTGCGTGCGTTGTACGTTGCCAGGTCGAGTCGTCTAAGGTGGCAACCGAACCTCCACCGGAGATTCTTAGCACCCCCTGCCCCGCCGTTACCATGGTCGCCACCGTAGCCAGGAATAGCGGGGCCGCCGGGGACTGGGGGCCATTTCTTTGTTACTGTCATTCATAGGGGGTATTTGCCATAGTTGCCACGCTTGGCGAGCGGGTTGGCAACCGCAGTTTTTTTTACTTTACCGTCTATTTCAATATATATAATAATAATTATAATCTTAGATGTGTTTATTTTATCTTCAAATAACATGATGCTTTGAGTTTGTTTATAAAAAATAGGGTCATTATTGATTAACAAATACAAATAAATTTATTATTATTATTCTTCCATCTTGCTTCCTTATAGCTGCCAAATCCGTTTACACGACGTCAGAAAGGGTCGTGATGGAAAATCTTACACTTTTTGTTGCCTAGCCCCCATCCGCCAAATCCATACCGTCTGATAAAGAACTTTGTTCCAATAATTGAGTCTGCACAAATATTGGCCAAGGCTGGAAATTACTCCTATAAATAGTGCAATTTGTATTACGAGTATGTAATATAAGGAAAAACATTGCAATTTACATTTATAACAAGGTTTTTCTTTATTAAATCTTACCCCACACTACGATTTTCTTCTTTAATATGAGAGTAGTTAACATGTACAAATTGCGCAAGAACAAACATCCTGAAAAGAAATAATTATATGTAAGCCATACAAGAACTTGTTCAGTGTAGAATTCAAACTTGCATTCCTCAGCGCCGCAAATTATTAATAAGCCACTGCACTATGGAGCCATCAAAAGTGACACAAAGAACATCCTCGAAATTCATTATATACTAAAGAAATGTGTCAATTATTATGAAGAGGCAAATTTAATTTCTATTTCAATATATATAATAATAATTATAATCTTAGATGTGTTTATTTTATCTTCAAATAACATGATGCTTTGAGTTTGTTTATAAAAAATAGGGTCTTTGCTGTATATTCTGATACAACTAATTCATCATCGTCTGACTCATTCATTATGACTACCTTTATTAATGAAATCTGGTGCATGTTATTTGTTACATTAGCATTCATTCTATTTAAAGTATAATTTTGGTTTACCATAGATACTCCAAATAGATGTGCAATAATTTTAAACCAAATTTTATATAGTATAAATTGGATTTATTTTTCAGGGGCGCAGGTGTGTGCTAAAAGATTGCTGTATGATTGAAGACAATTCGGTACTGCCAGCAGAAACTGTCGTACCTTATTTTGCACGATATTCTAGCAGCACCGCACGTCTTATTACTACATTACCAGAAGCAATGCCTAATCTTATGACCGAGTTTACAAAAAGTTATTACCAACACTTCTTACCAACAACAGTTAATTGATTGACTTATGTATAATTGTGAATAAAATTAAAATATTAATACTAAGATATTTATTTATATTTTTAAGTCAGGTGTTTATGTGTATACTTAAGTCATAAACATTTTTACAGCTTATGGTTAAAAATAATGCAAATACTATTATTTGCCTTTGTACTGTGCTTTTAAATAAACAATTTATTAAACAAATTTTTTGTTCATGTTTCTGATATTATGATCTGCATCTATGTGAATTAGTATATAATATACTGATTTATCTCTTACTGAATGCCATCCAGGTAAGGATAATTAATTGATTTTCATTTAGATATTAGAGGGTCCGTTGCGTTAAGCGTGCTCCCGCGCCGTGACCATGTGGTGGTACGTGGTACACGCAGCAGGATCCCAGTGCCAGATACTATAAAGGGGCAATAGCGCCGCTGGTACTACTTGACCGTGCGCAAAATATGTAATCGTGCCGTACATACATAATGAATTATCTATTAGTTTATTCTTAACGAGCATCACCGCTGCTAGAATTTATTTGCTATATCCCATTGAAGAAACTTTATTATCTATGGCATATGTAATAATAGTAATTAAAACTCCGCCATCAATGAGAACATGAACATCTATATGAAATCGACGACGGCGTAATAATCGATCTGTAATATAGGATATAGTAAATGAATTCTATAAAGGCAGAGATGTTCGCCAATAATAAGTTACTCTGAACCATAGAGCAACACAGGCAATCGGCGGACCTAAGGGGAGTAGGAGTAGCCATACGTAGGCGTTACCCTCTGTCAAAGTGTAAGTTCACGCGGTCCTATATGTGATGTAAAAAATACTAGCAAGGAAATATTACAAACAAATTTGGAGCAATTAGTGTCATTTGCAAATATGACGAAGCAAAATAAAAATAACGGGCCCAATAAGGAGTAGTCGCAAAATCGCCGAGATTGCCTCATTGTGATAATAGTATGCTATCAATAAGTGTAAAAACACCGACCTCGAGCTCAAAGAATTTTAATAATGAATCCAAGAAAGATAGTGTGGCCACAAAATCGGCAGGATTATCTAGTGTTGATAAATGCTCAGTTTCGATTAATGAAAAAAATTAAATTCGGTGTCAGTAAATTTAATTAAGAACGCGAAAGACAGATTGGAAAAAGAGGACAATTGGATAGTTGTAAAAAGAAAAAACAGTAGGTACCCTATTAATGAAGTAAAAAAGGAGATAACACGAGCCTAGCCTAGATATACAAGGGACTGAACGTAAGAAGTATTTACACGTCTGGCGTTTGAAGAAGGAAACTACAGTAGAAAGCATAGAAAAACATGTTAAGAATATATGTGGGGCTGAAGTACAAGTTAAGGTCGAACAAATTAAACATAAGACTGAAGGAGATTAATGCTTCGTTTATAATAGGGGTTCCAGAAAGTTACTATAAAAAGATATGTTCACCAGAGAATTGGGCAATAAATATTGAATTTTGTGAATGGGTGTGGTTTCGTCGATACACCGAAAAAACAAAAAAGCCTTAGGACAACTGTTGAAATTTTCTACCAGAACGTAAGAGGACTGAGAACGAAATTAGATGAATTTTGGGTGTGTGTTGCTAGCTCCAGTTCCAATTTGTTTGCTATTACGGAAACCGGCTTTAGTAAATCCATTCAAGACTCTGAAGTTATCCCATCCGGATACAAAATGTTAAGGTGCGATCGCGTAGACGGGCGGAAACAAGGCGGCGCTTGTTTAGTGGCCGCACCACACTTCGAACTGCAGTTTGTACCTATATTGAGTGACGTAAACATAGATTGTCGGGTGCTTGAAATAGTTTGTGCTAGGGTCTATTTAAGAGAAAGATTAATATTTTTTATATGTGTTGTTTACATTCCACCAGGTAGTTGTGATAATGAAGAAAAGAGCCTACTCCTTTTTAAAAGGCCGGCAACGCATCTGCAATTCCCCTGGTGTTGCGGTTGTTCATGGGCGGCGGTAGTCACTTACCATCAGGTGAGCCGCATGCTCGTTTGCCCCCTCTCCTATAAAAAAAAAAAAAGAATATATGTTATTATTCAGAATAATTGAGCAATATTGTAGTAAATACTGTAAAGTCATAGTATTAGGAGATTTTAATTTGTATTCATGCTCCACTACTATACGTAATTACTATGAACATTTTGTGACATACTGTGAATTTTCTCAAAGCAATAGAATAGGTAATTGCAATGAACGACAGTCAGATTTAGTGTTAAGTACATTTGATAGTGAGGAATCGATGAGGGTGTATGCGGCGGATACTGGGCTTGTGCCAGTGGATACGCACCACTCTCCGCTTGAGATAACAGTGTGTTTGCAATTGGTCGCAGGCGGAGCCGCTGCCGCGCAGGAATCCATTGACAGCGAATGCTACGTGAGACCTGCTTGGAAGTTTAGCAATACTAATTTTCCTCTCTTGTATAAACCTATAGAAGAAATAGACTGATCTCCAATGTATGGTTTAGATTTAGAAACAAGTCTTGATTTTTTTTATTGCACTATAAATAATATAATAGATAATTGCGTACCTAGGAAAAAAATAAGTAAGGTAAAGTCGAAGTATATTTATCCTGAGTGGTACACAGCTGAGGTAATACGCGAATTAAAATTAAAAGCAGATTGCCATAAGAGGTATAAGATGAGTAAATCAAAATACGAATATGAACTATTTTCTCAGTGTCGAGCGAGAGTTAAGAAGATGATGAAACTCGCTCAGGAGCAGCATCAGAGTCGCGTTCAAAACCATCTCGTAGAAGATCCAAAAGCTTTTTGGAATTACATAGGGTCCAAAAGAAGCTGCAAAAACAAAAAATAAATTTTGAAAAATGGGGAAGTATTGAGTGGTAAGCAATGTGTAGAAGAGTTTGTTCAGTATTTCCATTCAGTGTATAGGACGGAACAAGCCAATCTAAGCGTATGCAATCGAGGCAATAATAGCGGCTGGCGATACCAACGCAGCTGTGCAGGTGCATATCGAAAGTCTGAGTCTTCAGGATGTGCAGCGCGCCTTGCAAAAGCTAAAACCTAAGAAGTCCGCAGGCCCGGATGGCATCTCGCCGTATATACTCAGGGACTGCCGTTTCGTGATAAGTAAGCCGTTAATGTACATTTATTCAAAATGCCTGGACAGGGCTATTTTTCCCGATAGATGAAAAACAACAAGGGTCGTTCCTGTTCCAAAGGGAAAAGCAGGATCGCAGGTGGACGAATATCTACCTGTTGCCGTGCTTTCATCAGTAGCTAAAGTATTTGAGTCGGCCATGTACGATAAAATATTCGTGCAGGTGAATCAGCAGCTCTCGGAAGCGCAGCACGGGTTTCGGCCAATGAGAAGCACCACTAGCAACCTTCTTAGCTACATGGCTGAAGTTGTGCCCGCAGTGGATAGGGGGGTGCAAGTCGACGCCGCTTACTTTGACTTTAAAAAAGCGTTTGACTTAGTGGATAACGACGTCTTGCTAAAAAAGTTAGCGGCAGTTGGCTTCACTACACATTTGTTAAAATTATTTGCCAGCTATATGACAGGTAGAAAGCAGTATGTAGAATATGCCGGCCATACGTCGGACACATATGTACCAAAATCTGGAGTAAGCCAAGGTAGTAATTTAGGGCCACTTCAGTTTTTGTTACTGATTAACGATTTGCCTGAGGTAGTTAAGGAATCTAAGTGCCTTCTTTTTGCTGATGACCTCAAGTTGTATCATGTCGTAGAAATGTGGGCAGACTGTGAAAAGCTACAACAGGACGTAAACAGAGTGGTGGAATGGCGCAAGAATAGCCATTTACAGTTTAATGGTGGCCACTCACGGTCAGTTAAACTGAACAGTTTAACTGATGTACATCCAAAAACTGACCGTGAATGTGAAATCTTAAGTTGAAATTTTTAACTGAAGGCAACACACGGATTTTTCCGGGCGTGATGTCAGTTAAACTACTCAGTCGAACTGACGTACATCCAAAAACTGATCGTGAATGTGAAATCTTAAGTTAAAATTTTGAACTGACAGAACTGGCTTTAGTTAGTTTCCATTATTGGTAAGTACATACTTTCTTAGTAGCTACTTACATTATTTGTATGCTGTTTAGATTTTATATTATTTTACATATTTAGAGAAGTTGTTTTGACGGAGAATGGAGACCAAGGTGATTGTAATGATGTCAACTTCCTTATGGTGGACTCAGAAGGCGGGTAAAGGATCTCAGTGATGCTACTACGTAGAACTATCGTGTTTGGACTCATTTTCAAATAGGTAAATGGAGACCTAGATGATTGTGATGTTATCTCCTTTATGTTGATGCAATCCGAAGGTGTTATAGGATCTCAGGGACGACACTAGATAGAATGACCGCGTTTGAACTCATTTGAATGGGCTCATAAAGACCTAGGTGACTTTTATAACCTCACCTCTCTGATGGTGCAATCCGAAGGTGGGTATAGGATCTCAGTGACGGCACTAGATAGAACGATCGTGTTTGAACTCATTTGAAAGGGCTTATAAAGACCTAGGTGACTTTTATAACCTCACCTCTCTGATGGTGCAATCCGAAGGTGGACGGCACTAAGTAGAATGATCGTGTTTGAACTCATTTGAAAAGGGTTTATAAAGACCTAGTTCAATGTGATTATAATACTTTCATGATGGTGAACTAAGATGGTGGGGCAAAAGATAAAAATAAATAATACATTTATTAAAAAATAAAATTTACCATAATGAAGAAAATTATCATAATATCTGACCCATTTCTTAAAAATGTCTTAATACTGACCTTATCATGAATAAAAATATCTTTTGAAGTGTTAATATATAGGGAACGATATATATATACGGAACGGATTTCATTTCTCGAACGACGGGCTGCTGCCATGCGCGTTTAGTTGGCGTGACTCCTATAAATTAAAAATATAATTTCCTATCTATTAACTAGCTGTTCCCCGCAACTTTGTCCGCGTGTAATTTATTACGATTGGATTTAATGG